TTTTCCATCTTTATATTTCCCCCATCATATTTCAGCTCGTGTCACTGCAGATAACTCCCTCTCTGACCCTTTGCCTTTAAATAGCAGAAAATACAACCCATGTTTTCCAGTGAGATAAACAGAAAATTGTCTTTTTTTTTTTATTTCACAGCTCAGTCAGTTTATGAGGGGGACCTGATTAGAAACACCCTGAGATCCCAAACTKCTGAGCACCTACTGCCTTTCTGCCACTAAATCCACTCTGTATTTTGCAGGCTTAGGCTTTGTTTCACCTATKTCTAATTCACATGAACAAAGTTTTTACAAAGTTTTCAAGTTTTAAGATCAAACAAAAGCTGCTGAAGTTAGCTGAGTTAAAACTGGGGTGCAGACCACTTGGGCAGCTGATGGACGGGCTGATCAGCCAAACCCCAGTCTGGCAAGCATTCATCTCCAAAATCAGAGGTGTGGGTGTTTGCAGAGCACAGGCTCCGAGGTGTGCGTGGGGTGTGTTGATGATACTCAGTGTGAGGGGAGCAGCTGAGCCGGCAGTGTCTGTGTTTGCCGACCCCTGTGACACCTGTGACACCTGTGACACCTGTGACACCTGTGACACCTGTGACACTGTCAGTGCCTCCCTGGTGACAGCTGTCACTGTGGCACTGGCTGGCTGTACAGGGCTCGGGGACAAAGGCTCAGGCAGCGTGGGAAGATGCACTGCCCGGGGCAGGGTCTGTGGCAGGGCTYGAGTGCTCGGGGAAGATTGGAGCAGCAGATGGAGCCGCAGGAATTTCGGGACCCATCAACGCCGAGCTCTGCCAGTGGAGCAAACAGCTGCAATCACAGCCCACCTCACTGAAGCCCAGAACAACTCATGGAAAGCAGGAGGATGTTCCTGTCCCACAGCTGAGGAGGAGCCCTGAGGGTCCCGCAGCGCTGAAGCTGAGCTGGGCACAGCCCCAGGTGTGGCTGGGGGAGCAGAGCCAGCAGATGCCAGTGCCAGCACCAGTGGGTGGCCCTGGCCAGGCTCAGGGGTGCCTGCCCCTGCCCTCCAGCTCCAGCACAGCTGCCCTGAGCCTGCACATCCCTTATGGTGCCACAGMACTGCCYTGGAGCTGCTGCCATGGCTGGAATCCTGTCCGGCCACTGACCCTGTGAATGGCCTGAGCAGCCTCTGACTGCTGCTGGACCCTTCTCWGGAGCTTCCAGGGCTCGGAGCTGAGCTCTGCAGTGTGTCAACCATTGTTTGTTCAAGAATGTGTGGTCTGGGAGCTGAGAGGATGGCTTGTAGTTYGTGTACACATCCAGGGCAGGTTGGATGGGGTTTGGAGCGCCCTGGTGTAGTGAGCATGTCCCCGCCCGTAGCACAGGGCAGAATGAGAGGAGCTTTAAGTTCTCTTCCAACCCAAACCTCTTAAAATTCCATGATTCTGTGACAGATGACTCTCCATCTTTCTCTAACTTCTGTAGCTTTCAGGTAGCTGTCATTCCTTCCTGTGCCAGTTTGCTCTTCACAATCGCCTTTATGTGCACCTTCACCAGTCACTGCCTGGAAAAGCCCAAACAAAAAGCTCTTAAGTTCACCCAGCTCCTGGGATCATGATTTGCACCAATCCTCCCATAAAGATCAACTGATTGGYTCATTAGATGCATTTATAAATTAAATTTTTACTTTAAAAAGATATTGTAGATTAAAGGTGCCCACGTAGCACTTTAAGGATGGATTCAGTGGGAATTGCCTGCAAAAAGATTGAATTCCTGGGTTTCCACCCAACACTCCTAGCAAATGGTCAGAAAATGGTTCCAGAGGCAGTTTGAGTACTCAGGAACAATCGGTATCTTTTACTTAACTCTCTCCAAAAAGTATTTTCTGATACCAGTCCTGAAAACAGTTATTTTTCCCACTGTTTATTTCCAGCCATCCAGGAAAGGCAATGACTGCAGATTAGGGTTTTTCCACTCTTTCACGTACCCAGAAGAGCAAAGCCCTGGATGTCACATCAGCCTGCTGACCGTCTGTGCTAGTCAGGAATTTCTCCTGGCCATTAGCCAGACCAGGCCCTGTCTCACCTGCAGTGCTGCCACCTCTGCCCTTTCCTTGTCCTCTGTCTGGYACCACAGCTTCTGCTTTGCCAAATCTCTTTGTCCTCCTGAGGCACAAATGCTGTACTCACCTGTGAAGTGTTTTGTGATGCCACAGTCACCATCACCATCACCACCTTAATATTAGAGGGTTTCAGTATTGATTTGGTATCAGTCTTATCTTCTTCTAACCCTGAGATCCTTAAATTTTTGCTACTGAGTTTTCAGAAGGAAAGTAAAGCACAGATCTCAGTTAGCTGCCAGATGCACTGGAAAATTAATCAAAGAAAATAAAAGAGGACTTTATCAGGCAATCTCCCAGATTGTTCATCTTTGGGGAACTAAAAGTGATGAGGCTGTGCCTTTCAACATACCCAAGCTTTGAGATTAGACTGGCYCTGGTTCCTCCTTGGGCAGCCCCTGGACCATCAGGAGAAGTTCAGAGGMATCAAACCATTGCCTTCAAGGAGCAGCTGCCTGGCCACAGCTTGGGAAAGCCATGTTTCCCTGAGATCCTGCAGGAATCTCACTCTCTGCTGAGGAGAGGAGCAGCATTTCTGTTTAAATGTGCCATGAACAGAGCCGTGCTCAGGTTTGGTCACAAACCCTGGGGCCTGAAGCGCTGTCACAGAGAAGACTCAGCCTGCTCAGAGCTTCCCTCCCAGGCTGACATTCTGTGAGCCAGACCAGGGKGATGAGACTTGAGAAAGTGAATCCTTTGTGGAAAACAGGAACAGTTTGATGCAGATGTGACAAACTCATGTCACTTTAGCACCACTGCACRAATGTGCAGGCATTTCCTACCTGGGTCAATTCTTCCAGGCACTTGCTTTGTTTACCTTGTAATCTCCCAAATTTTAGTTTTTAAAAAGCAGCTAGGATTTCCCCCCGAATAAGACAAACGTAGAAAATAATTTATGTCATATAATTTATGATCAAGCTTGACACTGGCTGCTGACTCTGCTTGTACTAACTAGTTTTATATTTTCTATGTTGCATTTTTGTCCCCTCTAAAAAGCAAAAGAGCTGCTCAGCCTTTACAGTATTGAGTGTGTCAGATGAAAGTGATCTCTCAGTGGTTTTTATTCTAGGTCTTGAAAATTTCTTGTGCTGGAACAAAACTAATCCAATCAAAATCAAAGGGGRAAAAAAATCCCAGATATAAATTCAACTCAAAAATATTTTTTTGACCATGTCCTATTTGCTGCTTCATGTAACAGAAACCTGGTGTGATGCATTGCTCCCCTCTGAGACAAGAAACTGGACTGTTTTTTGTACAGTGATTATTTCAGTGCAATTTTCATACASTTGTGCTTAAAATAGTGAGGGCATGGATGAGTGTGAACTGGAAGAGGCTCTGGGAAGTTGCCCTGGTTGGTGCTGGACTGGGACCTTCTTTCCCTCTGCCCTCTCTGGTGTCCCCACGTGGCCACAGAAGCTCCAAGGGCAAAATTCCAAATACTCATAAAGCCTGGGATTTCCCTTCCACATTCAGATTTTCATAAAAAGCCAAGAGTTCTAGAAAGCTTAATCTGCAATGCCAGTCAAACAATTCAACATTTTATGATGTTTCTTTCGTTTAAATAAGGAGAAAGAATGAGTCTTTTGAGGAAATCTGATAATTSACTATAAATTTCTTAATAAATGCAGCATTAGGGAATATTGCCTATGCTAATAAAGGGCACAATGTTGACTATTAACAGATTGTGATAATGTCATCCTGTTTCCCATTTTCCTTCTGTGACATAAGGAAGTGAAGATTTTTCATTAAAAGCGACAAGTAGAGGAATCCAGGTCACGTAACATGGAAGGGATGTAGCCTGAAGTGCTTGCAAGGTTTCTTTCCCAAGTCATTATTTTTGTGAAATCRAATAAACAGTAGAAATGGGCTTGTTTTGTGAGGTTTGCCAGGACTCCACTGGGGGGTGTTTGGGGAAGGGATMTTGCCATCTGCACCCTCCTAATTAAGAGTCTGATTCTGATCCACTCAATGCAAGGGTGCATTTGGTCATTGGAGAAATAAGAGTAGGGGCAAGTTCTTCATTTGGGAGATCCAAAAAAATTTAAAGGGCTGTTTGACAGACATGGGCAACCTCTGCAGACCTCCTCAGATTTTGAAGGGCTCTCTGTCAGCTGAACCAGTTCCAAAAGTCTCACAGATCCTGTAGRGTCCATGCATGAGAAATCCACACACCAGAATGCAACAAAACTTCAAAAAGGGCAATTAAATCTTAGATTTGAAGTGAGGAACTCGCCCTCRAGAAGCAGAAGCCTGTCATTATGGCCTTATTGCACAAAGTAATGTTGGCCCAGCCTCTCCCTCTGAGCCCTCTGGTGAGGCTGTTACTTCACCTTGCTCTGGTCATGGTGCCTACAATAGGTCAGCAGATTTTCTTCATTCTATGGAAAATTTTGAAATTAAACTCGGGACTTACTTCATTGAGTCAGTACAGACATCAGTGTTGAAAACTTTTTGACACCTACAATGTGAAAAAAATGTCTCAGTTMAGTTAAAATGTTTTCAGAACAAGAGTCCAGCAGAAGTGGTCATCCTATAAAAAAACCCTTTTAGCGTTGAGTGTAATTTCTAAAGAAAATCCTATTTCTGAGCTGATTTTTTAAAAAGTTTAATCTGATTGTTTTAACAATTTAACCCCCTAGCCCACCTATTTTTTTCCCTTTTTTTCTGAACTCTAGCATTTCCTACCCCGCCCTTTTGCTATTAGAAGTAGTCTGTCTACATCTAATACCATCTGGAAACACAGAGATGAAGTTGCCTGAACCTTTTATCTCGAGTGGTTCAAGGAGAGCTCTTGCTTTAGAGATGAAYATCCACCCAAATCAATCCCCGGCAGAGCAGGGTCCTGCTTGTGCTGAAGGTTCAGGGCACTGCCAGGAGCAGCTGGCACTGTTGCAAAATGATGCCTTTTGCCTTGCAGGGAGCAGGGAGGCCGCGTTCACCTACGCCATCATCGCGGCGGGGGTGGCCCACGCCATCACGGCCGCCTGCACGCAGGGCAACCTGAGCGACTGCGGCTGCGACAAGGAGAAGCAGGGCCAGTACCACAAGGAGGAGGGCTGGAAATGGGGCGGCTGCTCCGCCGACATCCGCTACGGCATCGGCTTCGCCAAGGTCTTCGTGGACGCCCGCGAGATCAAGCAGAACGCCAGGACGCTCATGAACCTGCACAACAACGAGGCCGGGCGCAAGGTCAGTGTCCCTGCTGTCCCCACGTCTGTCCTGGGGCTGGGGATGGCCTTTGGTGTCCCTCAGTGTCAGGGGTGTCCCTCAGTGCAGGACAACCACGGGGCTTCATCACTCACAGTACGCAAGTAGGAGCCTYTGCAGGCTGTTGGGCCATCTGCTCGTCAAATATTTGTGGAAATGTTGCTCTTTGCAGCTGTAAAAAAGAAAAAATCCAAACCAGCATTTTATCCGGGAAGTCAAATGGTCCCTCTGGTGAAAAACTCCCGTGTGAGTGAGCGGGAGCCTTGTCAGGTTCAGACATGAATGTCTCACTCAGTTGAAAAGGGTCGTTTTCAACCCCACTGTTCAAACCTCACTCTTTGTGTGAGAGCCACCCCTGCAAGGAGGAGAAGGCTCCAGCAGAAAGACCCCGGGCTGGGTCCCTGTTACACTGTGACACGGATTGGGGTTTAGCACAGTGGGATTCCCACCCTGTCCCATCCTTTGGGGCTGGCAGCAGCTGCTGCAGAGCCAGCACGAGGGAAGGCAGGCAGGAATGCAGCAGCTTCATACGCAGATTTCCTGGGAATTCCAGCACTGAACACCCTGTGTTTCCTACCTTGGCCTTGTTTCCAGTCGCCAATGGCAGCTGGTGCAGGGGCRGGACCTRGTCTGCTCTGACCTGGGGAGAATCWGGGATCCCAGAGCAGTCCCTGTGGTGCTGTGGCTCCCATTTCCAATAGCTGGGAATGGCCAGGGGGTGCGAGTGTGCTCCCCACACAGCCAGGCAGAGCTCCCCCTGCAGCAGTGGCCGTTCT